TGACTTTCAGTAACCCATATACTTTCGCATTGCAAGCCAGTACACACATTCGGATCTGTTTATTTTTTTAAAATCAACAAAACAACACTTACCTTTGCTATGTGCAATACACTCCAGTATATTTTATACTCTTCTGTTCCTTTCTCTTTTTCTTTTTTATTGCTGGTGGCAGGCAACCCATTAAATTGATTTCGCATTTCCCTAATAGTTCATGCCTATAGTTAAAAAAACACAGCTTCGATATGTCCTTTAAAAATGCAAAAGCAGCAAAGCATTCTGAGCATAATGTTCAGAACAGAAACAAGTGTGGTCAACAGGACCCCAACTGCACCCCTTCTGCCCAGTAAAGTAGAAGATCTCAAAACCAAACAGGATTAGATCTCTGGAAGAAAAAATAAGGCCTGTGATTGCTCAACCGTTTGGCCATGAACCCACATCAACGGAAAAGAGCTTCTTAAATTGTCCAGCCCTCAAAAGTAGGTCCTCTCCAGTGCCTACTTTTAAACAGACTGTGGAGGATACGGGCAATCTCCCAGGGAGCAGAACGGGGGGCACCCATATTGACTGACCAGGAAATTCATACACTGCCAGGGCTGGGAGTCACCATTTTCCCCATCCAGCAGGATAAGACATATGCTATTTTCCCTTCACATTGTATACTGGGCACATTGACATTTGGCCTTAGGCTTCCAGATCATGAGAACTACCACTGGACTGGACCAAAAGGAATTCTTATCACTCAGAGATCTCAAACTAGGGCATGAACTTACTTCCTATAGGAACCCCACCTTCTTTCCTAAAGAATACTGAACCCTAGAATCATCACTATCTAAATCTAATTCCACTTCATCATAGGTTGCAAAACTTCCAAATATCTAGCCAATTAAGTCACCGTCCCATTTTCCATCACTGACACCATTTTTTTCTGTTTTAATATTTTGATAGTTTGATGTAATTTGAATGGAAGTTAAATGACTGAGCTCAATGGCCATCTCAAAAAAGAAGTATAGCTGATTCATTTTTAAGCTTTTTCACTATTTTACTTTTAAATTTGTTACCGTTTTAATTTTTAATCTTGGGTTTTTTTATTTTCTTCAGTATTTTCATAAATGTGCATTACTTTCTTCCTGTGATTTGCCTTCATTGAAATAGCCGCCTAAGTAATGGCATTAGAGAAACTCGAATCACTGATCGGGTTCAGGGCACACTATCCCCAAAATATGGCATCTTGGCATAGCGAATATTTTATTTAAGCTGAAGGAGTTTGAGAAAATGGCTGAAACAGAAAGGTCACGCTGATCTTTCTCCCCTGGTCCTTCTTCCCTGAAACAAGTCATAACACCCTCCCTATAGCTGGAGGAAAGAAGCATCCTTATCTCCAACGTCAGAGGGACGCCAAGAGGAATCCTAACAAACAGGCCTTGCCAGTTTCCCCCCAGGTCACTACAATTACTTCACCCCTTAAGCTACCCTGTGTACTCTTTATCAAACCTAGCACAAAATACTCAGGTCTGTTTCTTTGGGTCTTTATTTCCTTAAGAAGGCTCTTGTGTCACATAAAACTTATATTAAATAAATTTGTTTGCTTTTCTCCCGTTAATCAGTCTGTCAGTTTAATTTTCAGACCCAGCCAGGCATCCTAAGAGGGGCAAAGAAAACTCTTTCCTCCCCACACAACAAAGAAGAGCTGGGAAACCATCTCCAGCCCAACTACCCCAGCAGCTGCTGCTCCTCAGCGTACCTGCCATCCCTCTGAGTGGTGGCTTCAGCAAAAATTATTCCGCTGGTGCCTGAAACTTTGGAAATGCAGCTGTTTCTTGGCTTCTAGAGCCCTGTTGTCTCTTTACGAAAAGCCATTGTCTTCAAATCAGTGCCATATACAACCACTGATTTGGGGACAGACCGTATCAACAATAAGCCCTTGACAGTATATGGCGTTAGGTTACCCCCCAGGAGAAACTCTTATCTCAAAGACGCAAACTTCACCAGGTGAGGAAACAAATGATGCTAGAGAAATTCAGAAGAGGAGGAAACTCTGGGCCCAATACTATCTGCCTGCCTCAGATGCCACATAATCCTGTTTTCACTAAGTTGGGAAATAGTGATTATCTCTTTTCTGACATTTGCTAAGTTATTGGACCTGCCAGCACCTCATTTTCCTGAAACAAGAAGAAAGAAGCCTGACAAAAAGAGGGAAGAAAGAGGAAGGGCCCTGTGGAGAGCTTATATTCCCATCACTTAGTTTAAAAATACATGGGGAAAAAAATGGCGTAGATAGAGGTTCTGTTCGTCCCTCGGCAACCAAATCAAAGTTGTGACAGAAACAAGGAGCAGCAGCAAGGAAAAATCGCCTAGAATGAACAAGCCATACAACTAGGGAGAAATTCAAGAAATCACCCCGCAACGGCAGAAGGTAGGACAGGACGAAGACGCGGGGCTGCCAGGTCTCCATCGGCTGAGTGGGACGGAGGCTGCGCCAGTGGCAGAAGCCTCTTAACGGGGCCCCGTCCGTGAGTGGATTTTCATAGTGATGGACCTGCTCGCTCTGAGCACCAGTGCTGATTCGGCTGCGTGCAGAGGGCACCAGGGACTTACAGAGAGACTGTTGGAGTGAGGGCCGAGGGGAGACTAGCTCTGTACAGAAATGCTCGAGATCTCCATTGTTCCCTGTTGAGCCCTCCCTGCTCCCGGTGCACGAATATAGCGCCACCATGGCCATGAGGTCATCAGACTGGATAACGGAGGTCGCTCTGCCCAGAAGATTCCCTGAAAACCCCGCCTCCCCCAACTCACAGCCCCATCCAATCCACATCCAGGTATATCCTCAGTGAATCAGGTGCTCCTTGCTGAGCAGCACCTAGACTCACACTGGAGGCAGCTGGCCTCAGTTTCTGGTGTGGCCTTTTGAGGCAACTATAAGCATAGCATCTGTCGATTGCTTGCTGAATCTTACCAGGTAGCCCTGGAGGGGCACGAGGCTAGGGCTAAATTTGGCCTGCAGCTGAACCCCTCTCAGGACGGTGCCACTGGACACCTACTTTACAAATCCATACTAATAAGACCGGGAGACTTAGGAGCTTTGCTTAGTACATAGAAAT